CATGAAATTTTGATATGTTTAGCTGAGGCATACTTTACACTGTCCTACACTACTTGACTGCAAAACAGCCATACCCACATACTGATGGGGAGGCGTTTGTAGACTGTGCTCAAAGCAAGTTTGTGACTTCTGCAGTTATTCGAACCCTATGTACGTTTTTCTTCTCTTCTGGGTTCGACATTAGCGCTCGTACACTTAAGACATGGCAAAAAGGAAAGGACGCCTAGAAGAGCCATCATTCCTATTTCCAGTTGATTTCTTGTTCAAGCCCTTTGGGATGCCTGGAACATGATCAGATTGCAGGTTAATAGTGGTAAGTATCCGCGCTACACCCATGCTGCACATATTGAAATTTCGCATGATTAGATCTAGTAGGAAAGAAGTTACGACTGAAAATTATAACTGAAGGAGCTCGCCAAATACTTTTGAGCGCTACTGTATGTGATTACTTCTGCTGTCTATATAATTACGCATACAACAATGAAAACAACTATACTGTTTCCTGAAAAGTTGTGCCCAGAAAGTGACAAAAGGACGCTAATCAATCCCTTTAGCGACGAACCTTCTCCTTCTACCGCTCTTCTCTTATTCAAAGGTTGGGTTGATGCGGCTTCGGAACACGCGCTCCATCGAGCAGTACATTCTAGGTGCAATCGTTTGTTTTAAGAAGTAGAATTTATTTGGATTCTCTTCTGCATTTGCATGCATGGGAAAATCCCGAGCATCATCATTTCCAAAGCGCGTTGAGTAACGCTAACAGCATGTTCATCATGCTTTCGTAGAGTCCAAGTCTCTGAGCCGTACGTCAATGCTGGAAAGACAGCAGTGTCGAGAAGGTGAACGCGAAGCTGGATGTTCTTTGTCTTCTTCACTACTCCCTCGATATTTTTGAGTGCTCCTCACGCAGCGCGTTTACTTCCACTCAGCTCCGGAGCTAGATCGTTCATCATGTTGACATCCCGAACTAGATACACGTAGCTAGAACATCCAGAGTTATTCGTTCCGTTCAGCGTGAAAGGAGCATCAGGAACATCTCGTTTCTCATAACATCCTCTGGGTTCAGTTGTGAGCCGATCTTTCCACGAGCACTGTCAAACTTGGCCAGCACTCGTTCTGCCTGCTCGATGTTCGGTATTATAAGCTCGATGTCGTCTGCAAAGTGGAGGCGATAGAGGTGGCGGCCGGCGACCTTTACTCCCATGCGTTTCTCTTTCATATGACGCATGATTTTGTCGAGAGCGGCACTGAAAAGTTTGGGTGAAATAGTATCGCTTTGCCGGACACCTCTCTATACGTTGATAATGACTTCCTTGTAGAATGGTGAAATCCTGGTCGTGAAGTTGTGGTAGAGCTTACGAAGCATCCTTATATATTGAGTAGGAACACCCTGGTTGCTCAGGGCTCCGATTACCGCTTCTGTCTCGATGGTATCAGAGGTATTCTTCAAATTGATGAACGGAAGACATAAAGGCATTTTGTACTTTCGCGATACTTCAATGAGTCTTGCAAGGGTGTATGTGTTGTTAGAGTGAGGGTATGATCGATTGTACTAAACCCTCTCCGATACCCTGCTTGGTCGCCTGACTGCCCGTCCTCTAATATTCTGCCAATCCTGTTTAGGACGACGCGTGTGAAAAAATTGTAGATTACAGAAGCAGAGGCAATAATTGCCAATATCGTCGTGATCTCCCTTCTTGTACAGCAAAACAGACTTGCTAGTTTTTCACGACGTGAGCACTTGGCATTCCAACAGGTACCGCGTAAAGAGTCTAGCCAGAGTTCTGACGACCACTGGTGGCGAACTCTTTAGATGTTCTGGTTTAATCCTGTCGGGATCAGGCGCCGTGCCATTCTTCATCGACGTGATGGCATGTCAAATTTTGGAAGGAAGAATTGAAGGAGCGTTATATCTGTCTTGCCTAAGATGGTGAGTAGGCCGGCAGACGTGGCTGCCGAAGAGATCTGAGTGGATGTCGTGGATGACCTTCTGTATTGCCTTTCGGAATGCAGTAACTGTTAAGTCAGGACACTAAGGGAAGTCATCTTGACCTCGTGATTGGCGAAATCGCGAATCGGGCTTCACGAATTCTCTTCCCAGCCTCGGCGCTTCATAACTGCTGCCTTTCTCTCTTTCAGTCTTCCTTTATCGCTTCTATGCATAGCTTCGCAACTTTGGACGTTTGCTGATGATTGCCTGTAGCTCGCGCGATTCCACGCTGGCGTATCAGCTCGAGAGTCTTCGAAGAGAATCGTCTCTTGGCTACTTGTAGACTCTCTTCTTTTTTAGCACTACCGTGAAGATGTTAGACGAGTCGGTTGTATTCTCCGTCGATACTGTCGAGAACGGAATCTTCCCATCCACTCGCAGGGAAGCGAAGTGGTCCCAGTTGATAGTGGTCTTGGGGCTTTGCCTCCTGAACTTCATATCTCTCTCTCCACGCAATGAAAAGCAAAATCTAGCGCGGAGGAGATGGTGGTCCGATCCCGTATAGATTTTCGGAACAGCAGCGTCGTTAGTCAGGCAAAATCCCCGCTTGAAGATGACGTGGTCTCTTTCATTATGGAACTGTCCACCACGTGACTCCCATGTCCATCGCAAATGAGAGGGCTTTTGGAACTGCAATTTACTGTGGATGATGTGGGTCGACATAACAAACTCGGACAGCCTTTCGCCCTGCTCATTCCATTCCATGAGTCTTGATGTGGAGCTCTCCATCCGTTCTTCTAGGGCCAATCTTTGCGTTGAAATCAGCGACGATGACCTTGAAGAAGATATGGTCTTCTCTGTAGAGCCTTTCCAGATCCATATAAAATGCTTTCAACTCCTCTCTTCGTAGCTCGATATTTCGATGCTGATGCGTAGGCAACGATAATTAGAGCAGGAGTTGCTCTACATATTCTTAATCGCGAACGTCCAATGCGGGTTGTTAAACTTTCTACGAATCGATGTTCATGGCCAAGTGCGTGTTGACGAGGACAACTACACGGCCGATGCCTCTGGTCTCGCATTTTTCTAGATACAATTCTTTTCCAGTCTCAGATACAGCGTGTAGCGGGCGAGGTCTCCTCGTCTCGGTCAGTCGGATGACGTGATCTTCCTGGTTTACATCATCAGGTATTCTTTACACGCTTCCGATGCAAGCGTCCGTGCGTTAAATGTACAGATCGCCATCTTAGTCCTTCTCCTTTTAGGCAGCCTGTTTTGGCCCTGAGCTTTTAGCAGCTTCTCCGAGCGGTCCTACCCAGCGCTGCCGTATTGGGGCTCCCTCAGGTTCAGGAGAATGATTCCCATTCCTACTACTGTCTTTGGCTTGTAGATACCCAACGTGCAGCTTGCCAGGCTCTGACGTAGGGGCTGTTGACTCCGGGGGCTTGCCAGGCTATCCCGAAGTGGACCAGGGGCTTTGTTTTTGGAGGCGGCCCCGAATCGCCTCCCAAGTACTTCCCAGTCACTCGAATGCAAGCTTTTGGCGAGTCGATGGGCAGGATACCAACTGCACCCACAGATTCTCCGCACACGTATCAAACAGAGGATACACCTGCGAGAAACAGAGTTTATATCGACCCAGCATAGCAGAATCAAGGAGTCCATTCCCTGAATCCACCTGCGTCTCTGGGCAAGTACCGGTGACTCTTGGTCGGCGATTAATTCCCCTATCCGCTACCTAGGTACGCCCTACGGTGCCTCGTCACTATCCGGCTGGGGATCCTTCAGTGGGAGAGAACTCACAAGGAAGGTCTTTCAGGGCGTGAGACGCTTTTCAAAAATGGTTTTTCGCATGGTATAGGGGCATGGGCTTTGAGTACAAAACTATGGTCCATTTCCGCTAAATGGCCTTCTGAATGCCAAAAAAGAAGTGAAGTTATTTTGTCAGAAATTGTCGTTTTAACCCACTTAGCGTCGTTCGTTTCATTCATGGTGTCGACAGTCTGCACAGTAGAAGAGGGCTGTGGGGGCGACATTGAAAATAACTTGAACGGTAGCCAAAAAAGGGACAACATGTTGAAGCATGTTGAAGAGTGCGGGCAGGTTTCATATGCGCTCTCCACAGTCTAGTTGCTAGCAGCGACGGATGGTATGGCGGATAGCGATGTGAACTTCGAGTTGAGACGACTAGGCTGGGTTGATGGCTCGGATTTCTGGGGCTCTACCGTTTTTGCATTTTATGCTGCCACCTCCAGATTGGCTCCATATTGCACCAAGGCCGAAGCAAGTGCCTGACTGGTCATGGTCGTGACTAGGACCACCGATAACCTTTACAAGTCGTTAGAATCTGATGTGTGGAGCACTATCACTGAAGGAACTTCCAGGCTTCACACTCCCATGAGCTCCTTCTTCCCCCCCCCCTCAACTTTCTCACGTAGTGTTTTCATTAGTTCGGCTCTTTTTGCATCCTTCACATCGAGAGTTCATTCAGTTGGTAAAATGTTAGGATGATATCATTTTGGTAGTCAAGAAACTCGATATCATATCATCTGGTATTCGGACATCGTATGGACAGTGCACAGTCCATACAATCCTATGAATGATTTGGGCCGTAATGATTTGATTGTTGTTTTATTTCGACCGAATTCCTTCAAAACTGATGGAAGGTGCATCTAGTTTCGATGATTTCACCGTCTTTTACCCTAGCTGATCTCGCGCCGTTGAAAGATTTTTTGTCCACTGTTCTGATTGGTCATCTCCATCTCCTTCTCTCCTCACGTTTAGTATCTTCTGTAGGCCGGGTATTGCCCAGACCCTTCATCTGGTCATTAATCTAGTAGATCATTAATCGACCGTGCGTTGAAAGTGCAGATCGCCCTCTTACACTGAAGGATAATAGGTCGCATTCAAGACGAGATGTATACCGTCGTAGGTAGTTTCGAACGCTGATCCCAAATCTGGGTTCCAAACCTGCGAAACGGTTCTGTGAACAAAGTTACGGGTCTACTTTCCCCGGGGGTTATGTAACTTTTTTGCATTTATACGAGAACCAATCAGAACGAAACATGCACCGATGGGGCGGTTGGGAGGACGATGGGTTGACAGGCGTGACACGGAGGTTCGTATCCTTTGTGCGTACGCTTGTTTTGCTTTTTTATAAAAAGTGTCTTAAACGCTCGCAAAACCCTCTTACGCATCATATAGACTACCTGCTCCCTCCTACACATTTATGGAGCACCAAAAACGCTAGTACACTGAAGAAATACGTGTACACTTCAGGTCTAGCAGGGAAAAGATGCAAGAGCTTCACTCAGAATAGGATTACAGATATCGTGCGATTATGGAGGGCTCGACAGGTGAAGACACGATCAAAATCATTAATTCAATATTGTATCAATATTGTATTCGATCCCATATATTACTTGCAGTATGTTCTGCCCCGAAGTGGTGATATCGCATTTGAACAGAAGGTCATAAATAGCTTCTCGTCCATACTACGGGACGCTATGCACGACAATCTCGTCGTCGACTGGGAGGAAGAGGAGTCCGTGGAAGAAGATCATAATGACCCTCTCTGGTCTCCTGATGAGAGCGACGACGATGACGGACCCAGTACGTCTCGTAGAGGGACCTCTTACCTCTTCGGAGATGCAGAGGTACCGAAGGAAAAGGTAACCTACAACTGAAAATTATGTCCATGATCTTCAATTTTATTGTGCAAGTAGATGGGGCCATAGCCTTTTATCGCTCGACAACCTAAAAGAGTCGCACATCTTCGTGCGTGAAGAACAAGTTCCGTTTTTTCACCACGGATTATCATCTGCAGGAGTTGATGGATATTGAACGAGACCGCAAGCTTCCAAATTAGTCTTTTTCCAACCATTTATGATGTCTTACGTAGTTACAAATACTAGGTGCGAAACGAGCAGACCGAATTGTCGGACTTCGGAGATTGGCCGATCACTTGAAGGGAGGGTTATCGCAAAAATGAATATGGGAGCGCATTGCACCACAGCGATATCCACCGCATGGCGCTGAAAATTAACAAGAAAGGCGCCGTAGTGAAGAACTTTAAGGCGAGCCATGGGTGGATTCAGGGATTCAAATCAAGCTATGGTATTGGGTTCCGCCGCATCATCACGTTCACCTCGAGGAAGGGTTTATAGAGAAAGATCGCATATCACGTAAAGCTTGAGCATTTGTTTTTGAGATAAAAAGGTGAATTTTCCCGCGTCATGCAGTCTTTATATGTGTGGTCGCTATGAAAGCATAACAGCACCATTAATGTGTTTGTAAGTTGTCTAGAAATGAAAAATCGGCCCTTGGAAACAATATGTAACACGGACCAGAGCTGTTTTGCGAAGGAGTTGCATTAGACCGGAACACTAGCTGTAAAGGGCCAGAAGAGAGTAGAAAGGGTGGTACAGTCCATTCCGGCGACGTCTCACCACTCTTCCACTATCATGCCTACCCTAATTGCCGATGGTCACTTGGCAAAAAAACTTCATGTTGTAATGCAGGTACGCGTTTCCGAGAAAATATGTATGAATAAACTCACATTTTCAAAACGGTTGCTCCAGCAGGAACCGAATGGAAGTTTCCCGGCTGAAGGTTGTCTCCGCGCCCCGAATTTGGATGTTAGGGCCAGTACAACCCACATCATGAGTAAAGAACTTATGCTGGATTGGGCTAGATCATCGTCGCATCAACAAATTTGCGTTCAACCCTACTTATGGTCGACTCGTGGACCTCGCTGAAAGACCATGGGGCGATTTAGGGCGCTTTGCCAACCGGCGAGGAGGTGAAAGTGCCCCACATTCCACCTGGCGCAACCTCTCAAATTCAGCCTCTGGACGCATACTTTTTCTAACCATTCAGGGCCATCTATAAACGCTTTGTCTCCTCCGTAATAGCTCGTGATCTGGATTTCCACGTAAGTATCGCGACTCCATAATTCGCCTTATCTCACTTGCATACTTCTTGTTTAGCGCACCAAGATTCAGGAAGTTTCTTTCTCCTTCATGGTTTGCAGCAGGATACCTAGATACGGACCCGGGAGAGTTTGAAACTCCTGTGCAATATTGTATCTCATCTCATCTAGACGGGAGCTGTGAGAGTAAAAATGACAGCTGAATTGTACCAGCTCTTTTCTACCTACCCAGAGGGAGAGCATTAGTTCGTGCAAAAGCGCTGTAGCCTGACGAGTCATCCGACGACCCTCTTCCAAAAGTGCACGGATGTGATGAAGTTCGTGAACACATCTTGAGTGCCCGAAGTAGAAGGGCTCTATGTACACTCCCATTCGGTCTGTGGAGGTAAAGGCCGTGGAAAAAATCAGTGGAGAAAATTCAATCGTATCGGCTTTTTTGGTGCTCCATAAGTGTGCAGAAGGGACGTAGGTAGTCTATATGATGCGTAAAAGGTTTTGCAAGCCTTTGGGACACTTTTTATAAAAAAGCAAAACAAGCATACGCACCAAGGATTTGAAACTCCGTGTCACGCCTATCGGTCCGTCTTCCTCCCAAAGGTTCTCGTATAAAAGCAAAAAAATTACATAACCCCCGAAGAGAATGGGCCCGTGACTTTGCTCCCAGAACCGTTTCGCAGTTCTGGATCCCAGATTTGAGATCAGCGTTCGAAACTACCTACGTCGTATACATCTCATCTTGAATGGCCACTGCGACCTAGTATCCTTTCCTTGTTAGTCCTTCTCGTTTTGGGCATCCTGTTTTGACCCTGAGATTTTAGCAGCTTTTCCTGAGCGGTCCTACCCGAGGCTCCGTTTTTGATGGCTCCCCTAGGAAGAATGAAGCCCATTTGAGGTACTATTTTTGACAAGTGGATACCCAGTGTATAACTTGCTAGGCTCTTTCGTGGGGGCTGGGTTGACTTCGGGGGTAGTCAGGCAATTCCAAAGAAGGAGATATTGTTTTTCATGGAGGAAGTGATGTAATGTTTCCATAAGCCCCTCCTATCCGCACATCCGCTCGAGAAGACTGTTAATAAAAGGTGCACAGGAGAGCAAGGGCACTTCTGTGTCTTTTTATTGTGGTGGTGTGTACGACGATAGGAGATTTTGAACAATAACCCGTGGCTACAGGTGTACGAGCAGAATCGCCAAGGGACCACTTTATGATGCATCGGAGGACGAGTTCAGGCGCGAGTTTAGCCTAGTAAAAAAGTTCAAATTACAAGTTTTTGGACAGGGTCACTAGAAGCGCCTTCTTTATAGTACTCTTATCGGTTTCATCTCTCTCACCGCCCTCTCCCCCCCCCCTCTCTAGTTAACCCATTGACGACAGCGTGGCCCGCCGGCATGCCACACATATCCTGCTCCTGGGACTGCGTGGCCCGTAATGGGCCATGGTAGTATTTTTTGTGTTTCAAACCGATTCTGGATTTTTTGGCCGCTCCCAAATAACAGCAATGTCGATGCCTTCTAGGGAATCTTGAGGCCCAGTGGCCCAAGAAACTGTTTGCTTTCAACTATAGAAGCGCAAAAAACCAAAGTTTCATGTGAGAACTATATTAAAAGTTGCAAAATGAAGCGTGATCAACTGTTTCACTACACATACTCCTTGTGATAATCTAGACTTATTTGAACCTTTCCTCCCTACTTCCCTTTCAGTTATGAAAAACCGAACTGATCAATAAAAGTAATCGGCATTATTGCTCTTAAGTGTACTTCTTCCCATGATTGATAGGCACGATATTTTACTTCGTGGTGCCCCTTGTAGCAGCCAGTGCATCTTCTCTTTCCGACTGCTCACTTTCCGACATGCAGGTTCTTTCGAGGAGGAAGGATTGCCGATAATATTTTGTAAGAAGAATTCTATAGGTTAATCTTATGCTGGTTGAAGTTAACACCCTCTTTGTGTCACAAAAAAATTTGTTGAAATCACGACAATCACTCTACGTGAAAAATGAGAGGAAACTTTCGATACCATCTTGTGGTGCGATGCATAATTGGGAATGAACCCATATCCAGTTTAGATCTGAACGCTTCGATCAACAAATCTTTCGGGTTTTCGTATGTACACCAACGGCTATGGGATTATTAGATAGATTTACTCCCCCCCCCCCCTATGCGAAGCTAATTTCTCTCTTGTCTTTCCATTTCAATCATGTAAAGCCGCCCCATTTTGCAGGCAGCCGAGCACTCCTTCATCTTTTGGAAGGTGCATTGATGTTACGGAACGGTTTTCTCCCGTAGTAGCGACTACATGTTTTCATCATCCTGAAATCTTTGGACTGATCCGATCGATTCTGAAAATTATCGCAACGATGCTATCTGCTTCTAACCAGTCCATCAAACGTTCAAAAAGAAAATCCATCCTCCGTGTTTGGACACAACGCTTTTGTATTCTGCTGGGGCCTCCATTCCGCACGCTACGAAGGTTCAGAAAAGGTTTGAAAGCACACTCCCACCTAGAAAACAACAAAGCGACAGTAGATGTCAAGTTGTGGATGACTTATCACCACTCCCATGACATTTTTATAGAACTTTATCTCAGGGGAACAACTCGCAAAAACACTTGATCGCTCCTGGGACCACGGGGCCCACCGGCAGGCCACAGCAACAGCCCGCGAAAATCGTGCTCGGTCCCATACGCCAGACATGCTTGAAAGTCGCCATACTTGCCAATGGGTTTGAAACAGTAACCTCCCACTGACCACAGAATGGCATATACGCTTTCTACCCCCGAACGATAGCTCATCCTCTACTGTAACAACTTTGAAGCGGTAGTAGGCAAATTCGAAGCAGAGCGGTTAGGGAAGCTCAGCAGGGAAGGGAGATAGCGGAAAGTTCGCAGCAAGCAATTGAAAAATTAGAAGGAGTTGGTGCTATGGGAGGAGTTTCTACAAAATTAAAAGAGTTACTCCAAAGGTATGCAAGTGAGCTTGGAACAAGTGTCTCAAGAGGAAGGGGATGACTTCAACATTCATTCGAAGACACCTGGAGACATTCTTGTACAAGTCTCCGACTGAAAGTTTTTGATCCAGACATCCATTCATAACAAGATCCCATTCCATAAATGCTGCCATCTAAAATACATCGACTTGTATCCTAATTTCGTCCTAGAACAAGTACAAAAAGAAGTGTTTTTGAGAGAGCGAGCAGCAGGTCAACAGAATGAATTCATTTTGTAAGTGCTGCTCAAATGACGGAATTAGGAGCCAATGAAGAGATTATGTCCATCCGCCTACAAAAATTCTTCACTACTGAAACACGAGGAGACCAAAGTAGGAAAACCAACATCTTATCTAAAATCCTATGGCTCACTTCCAGAACAAATGAAGAAAAGTCTCACTTTGGAAAGAGACTGAGTCAAATGGACCTGAAGTCCTCCAAACAAAATGAGATTGCAATCATTGAGAGATTAGCGGATCTGGAAAAAAACATACCCCGTTGTTTGGCAAAAGAGAATTGCGAATCTACTTTGGTCATATCCGCTGAAGAATCAAGGAAGTTATCACAGCATGCGTCTATCTCAGGGCGATCAGCAAGATAGCTCGTTGATGGTCAGAGCAAATTGCCATCAATGAGATCTAGAAACATCGTGTGAGCTCGCTCGCTAAGAGAATAAGAGGTGTAATGTACAATTATCTCCATAGGATGTAAAAAATTACGTATTTTCGTGCTAAGAAGCTGCTCTCACATGGATACAAGATCCTTCATCAAAAGATGTGAAATAATTGCTTCGAAAACAGTCATAGAGATTTTAAGATATTGGAACTTTAGCAGATTGCGTCAGAGACTCACCCAGATTGAGTTACAGCACCACTTCCGGTGGACTGGGCCGCAAATACTAAAACCTCGATTGGAAGAGAGGTTTAAATGGAACAGGAAACGACCTAGGACTGTGAAAAAAACAAGGAGGGTCACAGCTACAACGGTTCTATTCATCCTCAGGGCTATTTAATTAAAAATCGGCATTCGTGACTTCTTTAGAGCAGTACACTTGTTGTTCAACAGCACTTGAGGCTTCCAAATTGAAAGTTTAAGTCAATCGTAGCATAGAAAAATGCATGATATGTCAAAAATTCAGCAATCTAGTTTACAGGTTCTGAACACGAGGACTTTCCCGTCAACGGATGCACAAGTCGCATTCATTCTGAAACGTCGATCTGGACTACTTCGGTCCTCCAACAGTTGCATTGTCAATTCAAAAAAAGGCTCACGGGACCATTTCGACCTGTTTGACAGTGCGCTTGACACATTTAAACGTCGTTTCAGACCTCTGTGCTCTAGCATTTTTCGAGATGGTACGATGATTCTTTGCATGAAGAAGAGCACCGAAATCTACAACAAGTGACAATGTTCCGGCATTTTATTTGGGGCAAACCTTTCTCTCAGTGTGCTATCAGTGTGCTGTGCTGTGCTTCAAACAGGTAAAAACGATCGAAAGTACAACATCTGATCAGCGATTATGAAATAGTGGAGCAGTAAAGCACGTCCCTCTCAGGGAGGATTTGAAACGTTTGTTTGATTTTATTGAGCACTCCTTATTAAAGACATAGCGAAAGACGACGACAACCCGCGATGAGTTAGATACCATTTCAATGAAGAAACCTTCCTCAATAGCAGGCCGCTGCACTGCGTGAGAGCCGAATCAACTTACAAAAAATATGAAGGATAGTCAAATTTACAGAATGACTTCAAAATACTTCCACGTCTAGATTGTCTCATTGACGAAGAAGACCCCACATTTTCATCACCCGAAGAAGAAGTATTACTAAGAAGAAAAAATCAGGCACTCTAGTCGTTGCAAAGCTCATGCAAGAAATCTCGGTTTTCAGCAGACATGACGTAACTAAGAAACAAGGGAATGAATCTGGGTTCCCACGTCAAACAGCGAAGAAAGATTCTTTTAAGTCTCATTCGCTACTGACACTCGCCTGTGGCTACAGCAGATTCTATCCGTGGAGCCTTGTGAGTATTTCATAAAGAAGGTAGTTTTCCGATAAGTTTCGGTCGTCTTTTGCTAGAGAGATCAAACGCTATCGGATATTGTAAGCCATCTCGAATTGCGTTTAGGCCCCTGAAGACGGCGATTACGTCGGAACGTTAGGCCGTTACTATGGTGAAGTGTTCCACCTAAAAACCTCGAACGGCGGAAGTATTTCAACAACGCAATTGACTCGAGTGTAAATGCGATTAGAAAAGGACGTTGGCTCCTTCCCATCATTCCAGGAACCCTTCTTCACCTCAGCAGTCCTTCACAGTTTACCAAACGACCTACTCCTACTGTGCGTAGCATTTTAGAAGGAGTACAAGAGCCTTGCGAAAGAATAATCGTATGAAATTTGCACAGAGAATTGCTGCTTTTACTTCTTCCCAAGCCAAGCGGAGAGGAATAGTTCGATTCCCGCTCCAACTTACACTTAATGGGGATCATTTTCATTGAAAAATAGGGAGAACTGCCGGAGAATATAATATATGTTGAAACAACTTGTCCAGCAACACCACCCTGTGATCTTCTTGGCTGCGCCTTTTGACTATATTCAGACTGGCTATAGCCATGATGGTGAATACTCAGCAGCCTCAGAACCCCGCACACTGGGCCCAGCCGTCTCCTTCGTGGGACGGTATGGCGACCGATGAGAGGCGAAGAAACCCCGGCTTGCGCAGGACGCCTTGGAGTTCGGACCATGACAGCGCTCCCTCCACATAATACAGAGACTTTCCTACTTCATACCAACATCGCGATAACAGTCTCTTCCAATGCCGCTCTCCATGAACTCCTCGATGTGGCTAGTCACGTTAAGTATCATGTGATAAACAATGATCATGTGATGCAAGCCAACGCCGACGACATTTCGCAATTTAAGTTTTTCGCCACGAATACCCTAAAATTCCATAGATAAGAGCGGTTGAATCTACCGGTGAAAAATGAATTGGAATGAAACTGAAATTGAATGCAGTCACCCTCTAACTTGATGGATGGATGAATTAAACTTCGAAGAAGAAGTTAAGAAGAAGCTCCGCCCCTCAACTCCAAACCCCGCCCACTTAATGAACAATTCATATAGAAAAATAGCGATCCATTAAAACACAGCCACCTACGACTTTCCCAGACCTCACGTTCAGAAAATGTCTCAGAGTGAAAAATGTGAACCACACCGACTGTGATTCGTAGACCAACACGAATTTTTATCTCAAAAACGTAGACGATTTTCCCTTCAGTTCTTTAGAAAACGTCGCTCTGCCTATGTTCATGAATGATGCAGCCAGCTTATAGTTATTTTCGCGTCGTTTCTCTCTTTCAGCCCACACAGTTACCTCATTTGTGTGAAGTTTCCCCATTTCAATGATGGATGAAAAAAAGTTGCCATGGGATTTCGAGAAGGGTCAAATTCCCGCAAAAAAGGAACAGACCGCCAAATCGAAGAATGGCTTGAAATTTGGGCCAATGCAGTTGTCGACAATTTCGTCATAAATCCTGCCGAGTATGGAGTCAAAAGGAGTACGGAATGCCTTTGTTACTTTTGGAGAGAGACGAGCTCCGGATGGTGAGAGAAACGTCGAGTACGTCCAAGCCATGTACAGATAAAGCTTTTCTCTGAAGTTCAGTGTCTTGACGATCAATATTTGGAACGCAATAAATAGGAGAAAGTGCAACGTGCGCAAGAAGGTAATGGAAACATTTATGAATTAAACGTCCCAGAGAACTGGGGTGACAGGAATACGATATACGAGATAGCTGAACAGATCACTGCGCTCGAGGCCCTGCTCCGTCGTCGTCAGCCCATGAATGCCTCCAGCTTCTCCGCTCGCCGTTGTTGCTATTCCCATGCAGCTCCTCGCGGTCGCCATATCAGTGCTCGGATCTAGAAGAGAGAAATAGTTGAGAGACACTAGAAACAGTAGTTACAGGAACTGAACTAGGAATGTCTTCCTTTACACCTCCCCGACCGCAAAAAAAGTCCGTCCAGGGCTTGAATACATAGTCTTACCTAGGCTAGGAACGGGTGAAGAGGAACGGACGCGTACCGTTAGTATGGAATATATCAGTGGAGATCCTGGAGGTCTCGGTTTCTCGTCCCTGAATAGAATCTACTGTGGCGATCTCGATGTTTCGCTCCGATGCGAAGTTAGCTAGTAGTTGAAATTGTCCGCGATAAAATGTGACTACGCACAGCTGACTGGGTTGGAGACCATGTTGTAGTAAGTGGTCCATTAGCGAGACGCAAATCTCCGCTTCCTCATCGTTAAGATGGGAATGCGTAGGAGCCTGTACGGAGTTTCCTTCGACCTTGATCAAAGCGAATGGAACGGGAGGATTTGGGAACTTGACACGGTCTAGAAACAAGCGTCGTTCCCTCGCTGTCACTCCGCTGAGCAATGTGCCACCGTAGGAGAGAAGATTTGGTAGCTCGTTAAGAGCTGGGTGGGCTCTAAAGGTAGTCACTAAAGCTACCTTGGGGACCCCTGATGATGGTTCAAGCACGGACATAATGCTTTGACCGCCGAATAACGCCGGGTTAGCATCGCTGGGGCATTTGACGTGAGGACGCATTTGGTTTATGTCTCCGATGTAGAGCTGGCGAGCGTCGGGAAACATGGTAGTGAGGCATGCCAACATGGGTTCTGGTACTTGCGATGCTTCGTCGACGATAATAATTTTACCGTCGGTGATATGGTTCTTGAAAATTCCTCCCTCGGCCGTAGTGTTTAGAAGTGATGCCGTTGCTAAAAGGAGCGCTTCTGGGGGTCGCACTTCGAATATTATTCGGATCACTTTCTTCACACATTGCGACACATCTTTCTCAGCCAATATGTATTCCTCGATTTCCTTCTCTGTCATGTTCATCCTGCGTTCTGGGTCTCTAGCGTACCGTTCATAGAGCAGACGTCCTTTGCGAATTCGCGTGCAATAGTCACGCTCTTGAGATCGGAGTTTTTCTGCGAAATCTTCGCTCAGTGATTTCAGAACCTCGTGAATATCGACGGGTGTGGATGGGTTTTCATCAAGGAACGCCGATTCCGATATGTATCGTAAGAGTCGGATGTGATGAAATTCTTCGAGGGCTAGCATCGTGTTCGTGAAGTGAGCCACGGCGTTGTTGGTTGTCGCCGTAACTATTATTGGTCCTCTTTTCTACTGAACTAAAAGCTCTGCGATAATGGCACCTATAATAGTTTTGCCGGTACGGAAAGCGGCCTGTATTTCCGCGATTGGGTGAATCGCCATTCCAAGTTCTAGTGAACTTCGCTGGTCCGGTGTCAATGATATACACTGTTGTTTGAGCCGG